CCCGCGGCTGGTGTCCCGCTGGCGCGGCCCTGGCTGGCGGATCTCCTCGGCGCCCCTCCCGAGCGGCGGCCCCTCGGTCTGGGCCTCGGCGGAGGGAGCCTGGCTCCCACACCGAGGTTTCGTGGGAGCAGTGGGGCAGAGGGTGCTCGGGAGCGCTGGAGGGGCCTGGGGGACTGCTGTCCTGCCCGGGGGCTGACCCGAGCCTTACCTGCTTTCATGTTATTCCTTCTCAAGGCCTAAAGTACGAAGGAATAAGGCCTGATGAGGCAGTGTGCTATGGTGTACTGGTATCACGCGTAGCACTGGTTTTATGGGGTGACTTCGTAAGACAACTGACTCAAAGTCATGAAAGAGAGCTTGCCCTGGCTGCATTGCCCATATTACGCTGTTTCTGGATTTCTAGACCCCTTGTTGAGTTACTTTAATGGTATTTGGTACTGCATTGTACTTGATTACATGTACACTACATTTTTTTTTGCTATCCAAAATCAGAGTTAAGGAAAGATGGACATTCTACATGTGGTGTGTTGTGTTTTTTCTTTTTAAAGTCAGTGATTTTTTTTGAGGTTTCAGTGTTGACTTTCCAGTTGACTTTGGCAGCTCTTTGACAAAGGAGGCTCTGGAGTAGTGTTTAAGTCACTGGAGAGGAGAACAGAAGGTTAACAACTTAATAGTATGCTGGCCTTGAAATCGAATTAACCCATAGCGAGAGCTGTGGAACTCAGGTAAATGATTTGAAAAGTATGATGGTTTTGCTTTATGTAGAACACTATGTTCTTAGCTGAAGTAAGAGTTATGGAGCCTAAAAGTGTCAGTGCTCTCTTTGACAGTGAACTGTTAGCAATTGTTCCAAGTCTTAAAGCAGTCTAATATTCAGACTTAGTGAAACAGAGGTCAAATGGTTGTATGTAACAAGCACTCATTCTGCCTGTTCAGTGTCAGTTAAGGGATACTGAAAAGCAGAGAGACCAAGTCATACACATTCAAATTCAAACTTGATGTAGTGTTGCATTCCTACATGTGAAGGAGGCCAGCAAATATTTGTGTACTGTCGTAGTGGTGTGTAAACGTCAAATTTTATCTTGCTCTGCAACTGATGATGGTCACATTCAGTTGCAGGAGGTGGTCGCCTGTTAGACAGGATTCGCAAGTGGTATTACAACGCAGCGGGATTCAACAAACTCGGTAAGTATTTCATTGAGTTTTAAAAACTCTGCAAATATAACAATCCTCAAACTAGTTATGGTTCATCACTGGTGTACGTATCTGCAGTTTGGCATAAGTCTTTTTGATCAAAATTAGCTACTACTTTTGTGGGGGAAAAGTAAGCAATAGCTTCAGTTATCATGATTGCTACTTAGTAATGAATCAGTGACTTTTCTGTTATTTCTGTGTTTACTCTTGTTTTCACTGAAATAACTTAAAACAGCTAAGGTTAAGCTGGAGCAGTTGAAAAAAACTTTCA